ACACACAATAACTTTAATGTAATAGATATCTGCATCCATTGGATGTTGTGTTTGGAATAACCTGCTTTGTTTTAAGTTGGTAAAACAAATTGCTTGTAGTTATTCCTTTCTACACACTTTGCAGATTATTATTATTTTTTGCACTCCACGTGTTTAATCTGTGCGCGCTCCGGCGGGGTGACAATCATCCCGTTTATGCTTTACTTTTTTGTCTTTTGAAAGACAGTCTGACTGTCACCCTTTCCCACAGCGCTTCTCCGCTGTACAAAGAGACAGTAAAGGCTGAGTTTTATAGTCGCGCTTTGGAACGCACGCGCGCGAAGTGGGTGCGGAGGCGCATTCGGCCATGCGGCATCGCGCTATGACCGCAGGAGAAACAAGGTCCAGACTCAGCGAGCTTTTCTGAGTCCTGGAGCTCTACTTCACCTGCCCTGACTGTCGCCTCGCTGTGTCACCACGTGCTGCGGCGCGCGCTCCTCCCGCAGCAGGTAGTGTGCTCGGTCAACATCTGACCGGAGGACGCGTGGTCACATAAATGTGTAAAMAGTTCTGCGTTCATTTTCGAACACCCGAACCAGGTCCGGTTCGGGTGTCCCCCCCACCCTCCTCATTTGCGCACTCAACCACGCTGCTTCCCGCTTACTCTGTTTTGACTCCAGCCAGTTACATCATGAAAAAGAATTGCGCCTTTGGCCGGTAGACTACAGATCTCTATCATAGGACAAATTTATATTTTTTCTACCGTATATTATTTATATCGCGCATTCCTACTGAAGATTAATAAAAAATTGATTATAACTGCTTTAAATGTGAATATATATACACCTCTGGTTTGCTGCTTTCTAAGGTCGGATGCCATCTACTCTGCGATGTACAATGGTTCTGGACTGATCGAGGTGCTGCGAGGTCATGAATATTTATCGCATCCATTTGCTGTCACCATGTATGGAGGAGAAGTCTACTGGACTGACTGGAGGACTAACACCCTAGCCAAAGCCAACAAATGGACTGGGCATAACGTCACTGTAGTGCAGCGCACCAACACACAGCCGTTTGACTTGCAGGTCTATCATCCATCCAGGCAGCCGCTAGGTAGGTTTCACTCCAAATACAAACATAAAAACAAGCTTTAACATTGATTTACCTTGCTTGCCTTTGATTCCATGAAAAATAGTGGGGTTCACAGTTCATTGGATATTTTTATACCTCCTATTCTCTCCAAAGACAGCCGACCTTTTAAAGCTGTGAGAAAATGTTAAGGATTCTTATATAGCCAATGCAAGACCTCCTCTTGGTAACTCAGATCACAACCTTGTTTATCTCTGCTCAGAATATAAACCACTTGTTCAGAGACAACCTGGAACTACAAGGACTGTGAGAAAGTGGTCACAGGAAGCTGAAGAAGCCCTACAGGGATGTTTTGAAGCTACAGATTGGATTGTTCTTTGCCAGCCACATGGAGATGACATAAATGCCATGACTGAGTGTGTGACTGACTATATAAACTTCTGTGTGGACAGCACCATCCCAAGCAGAACAGTGAGATGCTTCCCTAATAACAAACCCTRGATCACCAGTCAGCTAAAGGAACTTTTAAACAAGAAAAAAGAGCCTTTAGGGATCGAGACAGGGAGTTATTGAGGAGTATACAGAAGCAGCTCAAAGTCAAAATCAGAGACAGCAAGGAGGTTTATAGAAGGAAGCTGGAGAGTAAA